TCTAAAAGTTAATGTCGAAAAGTGCAAATTTGCAGCCCCTGAATTAAAATACTTTAGGTTACAAAATATCTCAGAAAGGAATCGAGACAGACGAATCAAAAATAATCGCTGTACAAAAGTATCCGACTCCAAACACGGCTAAGAAGCTCTCTTCTTTTCTAGGACTTTGTTCATATTATAGGTCCTTTATAAAAGATTTTGCAGCTATTGCTGAACCATTGTTAAAATTAAAAAGGAAAAAGGCAAGATTCTCGTGGACGGCCGAAGCCAATAGTGCTTTCGAAAAATTAAAGCAAGCATTAACGCAAGCCCCTGTGTTGAAATTTCCTGAAAAGGATGAGAATTTAGAAATTTCAGCGGATGCTTCGGATTATGCGGTAGGAGGAGCGGTACTTTCGCAAAATCAGCAGCCCGTGGCATTTTTTAGTCCGAACTTTAAATCAAACACAAAGAAATTATTCCGCGACCGAGAGAGAGAGGCACTTGCAGTTCTGTTAGCAGTGCAAAAGTTCCGAGTCTATTTTGGAAAGGCGCCAATAACAGTGTATTCTGATCATGCGGCGGTAACTAGATTGTACTCAGGGAAAAAAACTTATCCCCAAGGTTAATAAGATGGGCACTCAAGCTACAAGAATAATCTGGTAATCAAGCATACCCCCGGAAAGGAAAATATCGTAGCAGATGCCCTATCCAGAATAAAAATAGATGAAGAAGGTAATACTGTAAAGGTGGCAATGCTCACAGCATGTACAATAAATTCCCGAGAAACTGTAATAACCGAACTGGGTAAGGATCCTGAGTTTGGAAACATTTATGAGTATTTAAAGGATCCTGAAAATTTTAGCCACCAAGATATTGTGGCGATAAGAAATAGGGCGGCCCATTACGAACTAATAGATGGTCTATTATTTTATACAAAAACTACGAATTCCAACAACGAATTTCGACCTGTTATCCCAGCTAGTCTTAGATTAAATATCCTGCAGGAGTTACCATGACAGCCCTTTAGCTTCTCATGCTGGTATTCGAAAAACTATCCAACGCGTACGCGAGGCAGTCTATTTTCCTGAACTGCAAAAGTTAACAAGGGCGTATGTCCAGTCCTGCCCAACATGTCAAGCAGTTAATTATATTAATTTCCGCCCGGCCGGGTTTCTAAATAGTATTAAATCCGAATTTCCAAATGAAATAATTGGCATCGATTTATTGGGCCCTTTCCCAAAAAGTCAGTCAGTTAAATAAAAGTCGCTATCTCCTTGTTATGGTTGATCATTTTAGTAAGTGGACCGAAATTGTTCCCTTAAAACGAGCCTCCGCGAAATTAGTTACTGATTCTATTTTAAATAAATATATTTTTAAAATACGGGGCGCCCCTAAAAGTTATATCGGATAATGGTCCTCAATTTGTAAGTAATATATTTGAAGACATGTGCCAAAAACTGGGCATACGTCATTTAAAAATGGTCCCGTATCGGCCGCAATCAAATATAGCGGAACGGGTCAATAGAAATATAGTGAAAATTATCCGTAGTTATGTTAAAAATTTTCATAAAAGCTGGGATAACTATGTCAATGAATTTGCTTTCGCCCTTAGGACCGCAAAACATGATACAACGGGCAAAACTCCTGCTGAGTTATTTTTAGGCAGAAAGATTATAACGCCGTTAGATAAATTATTTTATGTTCAACAAAGAGCCCCAGAATTTAAAATGGGTGATATAGAAAAATTAATTAAAGAAGCAAAACGAACACTGAAGTAGCACAGAGAAAACAAAAACTCTATTACGATTTGAAACGACGGGGAGTAACTTATAAAGTAGGTGTGTGTATTTAATTATGGCAAAGCGCACTAGGGCTATCTGCCTAAGAGGAGGGAGGCCTTTCGTGGAGGACTTTCTAAGGGAAACTGGCTCGTATACACGTTACACATGGGGAAAACCACGAAAACACCCATGCAGCCAGCCCGTTCGCGGGATTCGAACCTCGGACCGAACTACCAGCGTTCAGCGACTTTACCGCTCGGCCGCTGGTGGGCCCACTTAAACATTCACTTCTTCAGCACCAGAAGATAAAACCGCCAAATTTTTTCCACGATTTGAAGGACCATATGTCATAGAAAAAATAACTCACGCTGTAGTGGTGTTAAAAGCCAGGAAATGGTGAAACCTGCTCCGCAAACATTGACCAGATAAAAACCCTACTATGATCGTAATAAAATGCAAATATTTAAAGAGATCTTTTGCAGGATCCGGCACGGCAGGCACCGCAGGCACAAGCTCCAGAGGTGGAACAACGACAAGCACAAGGGCAAGCCATTAGGAGGCAGGAGCAATTGAAAAGAAAGTTTCCCCGTTGGAAAATTGAAGGTAACAAGAAAAAGAAGCCGTTCCACCGTCCAGAAAAGAGAGCGCACGAACACCCCCAGAATGAAGAAGGGAGAAGTAGACGACGAATGCAAAGAGAGCCAGGAGAAGAAATAACGGCAACTATAACCCGGCTCCCAAAACGGAAGATCTACTCATCGGACAGGACTCTCCGCAGCAAATGTCGCCGAACTTGCGGAAGGACCACCACCGGCGGAGGAAAAGATACAAGGAAAATTTGAACGGCCAGCAACGAGGTCCAAGCAGGAACGAGAGAGAAGTGTCCCGGTTCCGCCAAGACCAGCGGCCATCAAACGGCCAAGACCACAGGCAGAGGCGAAAAAGAAGGTATTCAAGGGTGACCGAACTGGAGGGAAAAGAAAGCTCCTAGAGGAAGGAACTGAAGGGCGAGCCCGCACAAGAAGGAGGATAAATCAAAAACGAATCTTCGCTACCTTCCAGGACTGGGCAGAGAAAAGAATGTCCGAATATCACAAAGATAAGTAAAATTTTATGTTACTTTGCAAACTTAAGTTAATCTTTCATTCTTACTGCAAGTGGCAGATTTCAAGAAGTTTTACCTCATGCGAGGTCTACCTTTATCGCCAAAAGGCGAGAAATGAGTTGTTACCTATTTTGGTATTATGTTTTTCAATTACTCGCGAGTAAAACTAAAGTTGATGTATAATAGGAATGTGTAAATACTTAAATATTGTAAAAGTTATTGTATAAATTTTATTTAAAACATTCTGGCAAGAAAGAAGTTTTAGTCTGAAAGACTTTTTGAAATGTAGTATTTCAATGTAGAAGAATTGGCACTTGCTTGGAAAAGAATAGAAGTTAACAATGTACTACTAATGTATGTTTTCAAATGTGTAAAATTAACGGCATGTTAATATGTTCTTATATACAATGTGAACTGTTATTTTAAATGTTAAGAAATACCGTGATATGGTAAAAGTGAAAGTAATGCCAAAAAATTTTAAACGTATTCGTGTGACTGTAAAAAAAAAAAGAGAAATCGTATGTGAATATGTGTTAAAGGTTGAATGAATGAGTTAGTTAGGCTCTCTGACGCTACACACTTCAGAGTTAGCCACTTTCAGAATAGTACCTCAGGGTTTAGAGATTGAAGATAGGGTGTGTTACGAGGTCTTGTTATGTTGAATTTTAAACACGTTAGTGTTTTGATTGTAGGCGGCAGTGTTGAACACATTATACATAAACACATTCGTGTTTGGTGTTTCTCCCTTTACAACACATGTCAGAGAGCACGGGGAGAGATAATTAAATAAAGTCATGAATGAAATAAGAATGTTAAAAGGAGAAATATAAATATTCATGTTACTTGCCATTTAATTGTGTAACATTTCATTAAACTAGTTTTCCTTCCAGATCTCTGGAAGGAACCAGATTTCAACTAAAAGCTCCTGTTTAGATGCAGTACAGATGAAAAAATTGTCCATTGGAGCTGGATAATGTAAAAAACTTTTTTACATAATTTTTTTTTAAATTTCTAGTTTCTAGTGAGAAATGTTTGTAAAAGATTGGCCTCGCGTTAGATTCTAGAGCTAAAAGTTTTCAACAAGGTCGTTTTAGACCTCAGTTTCAAACTAATTAACTCTGGCGGGAAGTATGTAAGGATCTTAAGTTTTACTAACGTTTATTTTATTTTAAATCTTTACTATCACTTCTTATTTTCTACTTCCGGCCAGAATTAAAAGCGTTAACTTATTTATGCAAATTTGTCTGGCGAACGCCAAGTACTTAAGTTGTGGCTTTTTGCCAAGCAAGAGAGGAAGGAGTTAGAAGAAGCAGGCCGCTTGCCTTAGCAGTTTTTACTCGGTTGCTGGTTGCCTTCCAGGCCAGAGGTTTTTAATCCTCTTGATAATTTTAAACGTATTGTAGTGTTAACAGTTCTCTGTACTACATACGGCTTCCTGTTAATATACGGCCAATCTTCCACGTAGGCCCTTGTTTATTATTCCAAATTTAAGTTAGAGTTTAGTTAATATTTTTATATTCTTACGTTCAGACCACAAGTGGTTGTTCTCTGTATTCCGAAGTCGGAAATTATTGTAAAGAGTGAAAAATAAAGGGGTTTCGTATACCCTTCCTGTGTATCTTGTCTACTTCCCACATTTATTGAACATAGCTTTAGTAAGCTCCCTGTTCCGAGTCAGGTCTTTGCATGTTCCCAAAGAAAGTAAGGCGGAACCCTGAACCTGATAATGTAACCAACAGAAATTTGTTACATATAAAAAATAAGCACAATAAATCTTAACTTTTTTCCATATTATTTTTGTTTATATATGTTTTAATAAATATTTATTAAATGAAATTTAAAATTAAAATAAAATTTTGTTAAAACAAATCTGGTTCATCAGTTGCTTTTAGGTCGTTCATACGGTCCGCAGCTGCCTTCAAGTCGTCAATGCGGCCACATGCATTTTGTGTTTGAGACGACTGAATTAATGTTTTGCTTCATTGAAGGACGTAAATAAAAAGAAACAAAGTAAAATCGCAAATTCATGCAAAATAATAGGAAATTAATGAAAAGTATTTGCAGAATGATATTGGAGAAAACGAAACAGAGCATCCGTATTCTTCAGAACAATACATTGTGTTTGCGAGTAGCATTTGTTGAAATTAATGCTAAAAATTAAGCCTATAAAAGGAAGCCTTCAGATTTTTCAGAACTTAAACTGCTTTTTGTAATTCTCATCTCTTTCCTTGTTGAGTACGTTGGAACACGATGGTATATATCAAGGTAAATTTCTTTCTGTATCAAAATACCTCTAGATCCTTTTTGTTCATTCTAAAATATGTTAAAATAAGTAATAACTACACAGAAAACTCATACTGCTTAATCAACTTCGAGTTTAATCTGTATTATTCCACTAAAGGTCTCTAGCAAAATATCGCGGATTTTAAAATGGAATACATAAGACAAACTTAGTACATCCATATATAAATCTGTTTTTGTTAAATTAAATTCGAATATTGTTACTGAATTATTTGCGTGCTTCTTTGCCACATTCTTTGTCTTACTATAGGAAATTTTTTTCGTATCACAATTTTATTCCGTATCATACTTTTTTTGTTAAATCGCACGGATACATTAATATTTTCATAAAAATTCTCGTTTTCAAATATTAATAGCATGTCATTTCCGAGAAGACTGAGAGACATAACTAAACTGTCTCAGCTCAGTATTTTAGAATTATTAGTCCAAAGGGATTTCAGTCCCGAAGGACTATTGCTTTCGTTTTGGCATTTTGCGTCGGACTCATAAACGTCGGTTCACTTTTCAAACTGTTGCCACAAAATGTTAGAGTCCTGCATTATATTTGAAGAAATTAAATAATGAAAAATCTGCATAAATGATTGTCTATTTCTCGCATTGTGATAAAACAATGGTACATAGAGCCATCGAATTTTGAATGACGAAATCCTACTGCGAATATGGGCATCTGAAATCCCAAATTTGGAATTTGTTTTATTATAGATTTATATTTTGTAAAACTTTAACGAATTTTTGATTTACAAACTCAATGCTTTAAAGCGAGAAATGGGCAATGTTATATAGAAAAAAAAAAATACTTTTATCTCCAGCTCGCGTGAGACTGTGTGTATATCGGAAATTCTAAAGATATGCTTATTTAACATTATTTTGCGATATTGCTCTTGAACTGAATTTATGGTTTAAGTGCAAAGAACATGATGTTAATAAATAAAGGTAACACTCAAAACGTTAAAAAAAAACGCCCCTTTGGACGTAATTTAAAATCTGAAAAATTTCAGATTTTTTTTTTTTTTAAGTTATAAACTTAAAAATAGCATTAGCTCATGTTTACAATTCGATCAACACTCATTCACCTCATAGTGCTAATTTATATTAACAGCTGGGCGAAGTAGAGCAGCATATTTAAAACAATCCATTCCTGTAATTGCGAAATAAAACAAAATAAATCGGTTGGAACAGAAAGAAACCAATGTAAAATTTAAAATTAGAAATTAAAAAGCACCGTTTATTATTTATTTGTTATTATGTTAGTTCGAAACAAAGTTACTGCAAGTTTTCTGATAGATTTTTTTTCAAAGACATAGTTTAACGAAGCTTCTGTAATTTAAAAGTATATTTCGGAAATATTTATAATATTTTAAATGATAAGAATTTAAACGAATAAATAACTTATAATTTAGATGCATACACCTGTACTAATAATTTCTTGGATGCTTATTAAATACAATAAATTTATAGTTTCCAACACTCAAATGAAAAATTAACACTAATGTGACCTACTTATAGCTATGATTATGCGCCACTGACCAGGCTTCCGACCTAAGGTGAAACCGAACGGAGTGATGCCTGATCAGTGGAAAAAAGAACAACAAGCAGCCACTACAACAGCGTAGTTGCTGAAAGACCAAACGCCATCAATTGTCCTTAATCAGGAAAGTTACAGAAAAATAGTTTACGAAAATGATTACAAAGACATCTTGCATAAATAGCTACGTAACATACATAAGATTGTGCCATGTAGAGTTAGGTTACAATAATCTTGAGTGGACTGCCACATAAGCAACTTATATACATTATATACATAAAAGTTGTGCCAATTTCTCATTTAGAAATACATAGTTGAGAACACACAGATACATATTTTAAAATGATCTCCCCCCCCTCTTTCCTTATCCCCAATCCACACAAAATGGACTTTAGTTCAGCCAAATACTTAGAGTGCTCCCATGCTGCAAAGACACTATACATTTACAACACCTGTACGACTTCTCTGGAATTCGAACCCAGGCCCTTTGGTATGGTAGTCAGTGTCAATAATCATTATCCCGTTTGGGCGGCATGGATTACTTAAAATATTCTATTCCCCGTAATTCCGTAATTGCGAAATAATCAATTTAAAGAGAAAGAAGCTAATGTAAAATTTAAAATTTGGAATTAAAAGTACTTTTAGAAGGTGTTCAGATGATACTTTCATTTGGTCTTTAAAGCGCTCTGCATACAATTATGTCAATGATTCCATTAAATAATTATATATTGATAATTTCGCTGAAGTATCGATGTGTATAAATATATTGACTAATTAACAGCAATTTTGTTCTTATACATATAGCATAAAATTAAAACATGGGATAAATAATATTTACTTCGAAATTCCAGGTAATTTTTGTGCTTGGAATTCTCTTTTACTCCACAGCAGAAGGAAGGCCCAATGATACATCTCTCTATAGAGTACCTGTAAGAAAACTTCAAGCAATACTAATTCCTGTTGCTAATCCTTACTTAGGTATGTATGCAGGTACTTGCATGTGCAACTTTGAAATTCTGAAAGGAACAGAGGATTGTCTTCAGAGTGTTAGCATGGTTAGCAGAAGGTTAATATTTTGCTTGATTACAAAGGCGAATGATACGAGTTTAATAAATGTCATTTGGGATTTATTTTAATAGCTGTGCCTATGTTTTACTTGCACCATCAGCATTCAAACAGAATCAAATACTCTCGAAACAGAAGTGACAAGCAGGTGTATTAATATAATAACATTATCTTAAGTGGATAAAAAAGAATTTACTTTTTGTGTTCAGCTTTATATTAGACAAAGAAAATCAAAATGCTTACTGTTTGTAAACATAAGTTTTCGGCGCAATGAATTTAACAACAATGCGAGGCTTATTAAGCTGTGGTTTTACAGTAAAATTATCAATTAATTCAAGAATTCAGTCCGGCTGAAAAATGTTACTTGATGGAAAATTATAAATTCGAATTTTTCTTTAGATGATTGTAGAATCATTAGGTATTTGTCGCAACCAGGCCAGATGAAAAATATGCATCCGCCTTCGCCAGGAATCGAACCACGGACCTCTGGAATACCGTGCGTGCTACCGTTACACCACGAAGGCACGCTCGGGAAGTGGGAGAAATACCATATATACTCCCCTTTTTAAAGGGCGACTAGGGTTTTAGGGGACATAGTCGCCAAATCCTAGGTGCGGAGAATCATCATCCACAACCCTTTTAGCTCGGGCGTCACTTGTAGAGTCATTAGGTATTTGTTGGAAGCAGGCAAGATGAAAAATATGCATCCGCCTTCGCCGGGAATCCAACCACGGACCTCTGGAATACCGGCCCAGCGTGCTACCGTTACACCACGAAGGACGCTAGGGAAGTGGGAGAAATACCTTATATGATTACAAAGTAAAAAATCTGATGTGTACACCACATAACTTCCTTTCACGGAATATTAAATTATCGCATTTTTTCTTGCATTTCATTTAAACTTATTGAATTGAATTAAATCTACTTCGTCGATAGCGCATAAACGAACAATTGAATAAATGCACTTTTTAAAATTTACTATATTTGTTACCATAGCAACACTCTGGCGCTAGGTTCACATAACAGCATTTTATTTCGTCCATATTATAACTCAGGATGCATATAAATTTATCTCATTTGAAGAATTATCTAATCGTTGCCACATGAACTATTCAAATACTATAATAAAAATAAAACTATATATAAAAGAAATTAAGCAAACAACAACAGAAAACAAAACAAAGAAAACAGTTTCAGTTTTCGCAGACGATTCAGTATTTCTCATTCAATTAATTCAGTTCTCACTTCGCGACAAGGCAAAAGTACATAAAAACTCAAAATATCTGTATTAAAAATTACGAAGTAAATCTTAAACACTTATTTCCTTGGAAAAATTCCAGAAAGGACTAAGCATGATTTAATTCGCAATAATAAATGAAGGCGTTATCTTTGTTGTTGCGAAGCTAAGTTTCTCTAGATTGGCAACAAATCCACTATCCTGCTGTTTCAAATGTAAACAAGCAATGACAGCCATAAAAAAATTATTAGGCTTAGCGGCACTTAAACAACTTTAAAATTGTTGATAATTCTAAAAATATTGCATACAGATTTACTAAAGGCATAAAAACCTTAACCGGAAGGTAAGAACAACATAATTCAATCATTTTTAAAGAAAAAATGTACAATTTACAAACATATAAGAGTAAAGAAACTGAGATCACTGAGCCGGGTAACAGAGTGGATATGTATATAAATGTATTTATATACGTTTGGTGCGGCCGATTGCAACCAAAATACGAGGTGCACATCTACATGTTATAGCAGTCCTATATACAAAATTTCAACGTTCTGAGGCTAGTACGTTCGTACAGACGCCACGAGAAATTCTCTTCAGAATTCATTTTAAAGCAGTTTTATAATTTTTTTTGGAGGAAACGAGTCTTTTATTCTGTCCTTATGTACAGATATCACGCAAAAACATCGTTAAATTGCATTCGATAGCGGTCAAAATGGATATTTTCGTTGAAATATGCTGCCTGAAACTTTTCGCGATTACAATACTTACTTTTTACTTCGTACAAGGAAGTAAAAATTACATCCAAATCAAATGTTTATCAAGATGATACAATCAGTTTTCCTAAGCTGACCACATAACTAAAATTTTGATGAAGCAGCTAACGTTTAAAATGCTTATGGTTTAACGTAATGAAAATGAGAAAGGATATGAATTTGTAAAGGTCACTGCGAGATATAAATTGCGCCTAACTGACGATGGATAGAGAAATATCTTTATTTATTTATTTATTTATTTTATCTTCGGCTAAAGTCTGAGGAAGTTGTACGGTTTTTCTTATTTTGCATAACAAATTAATTTTAAGTTTGATACCTATTCTAGACTTCTCAACTTCCCCTCACATTCTCTCGCCATGATGTAAATTTAAAGTTAAGTGAAGTGCTTATTTAAACGGGCGAATATCTCAGTTTATTCAGAGCGTGTTCCGCTAGCCAAGCGCACGTTTCGTTGTTATTTCGCTGTTACGCATAGTAAGCCTTTTCGTCTTACCAGATTTTAGTATCACGCTGGTTAGGTTCTCTGAGTCCACTTCTTTGGCGTAACTTAAGTGCTATCTTGCACTATTTACTCTAGGTTTGACTTACATTGTATTCTACATTTAATTTTCACAGCAAGTTAACGGTGCGTTTGTAACGCACAAAGACCGTGCTTTCTAACTCTTTTGAATTAATAAAGGATTATTTTTACTCTTCGTCTGAGTCAGTTGTTTTATTCAAGTCTGTGCGAGAATTCGCCAGGTCATTATAGGATCTATTCTAGTGTATGTGGAAGAGAAGAGAAAGACTATAAAGTTAAAATTTTAACTCAAGACAGAAGCTTTTCCATGATAAGCATGCTTTTTAAAATGATAATACTTTTAAATTTGCCAGAATACTTAAAATACACTCATATCTATAAATTAAGGATAATGCAAAATCAGGCAAAGGAAAAGTTAGAAGCAAAACAAATATGACTTATTTGTGAAGCTTATTTATTAAACAAAAGGTGAAGAGCAAAAAAAGTTGCTATATGTTTGATATTATTAAAAAAATTAGCGATTTTTTATCCCTGGAGCAAATTACAAAAAAAAAAAAAAAAAAAAAAAAAAACCTATTTACAAAAAAAACCATATTACATGGTTTGTATGATTGTTAATACATTGTATGTCTCCCAGACGATGCAATACAGTCCGTACAACGCCTAGGCATGCTGAATATCAAATTATCAATCTGATCTTGGGGGATATTACACCACTCAAAAAGCAATGCTCTCCAAAGTTCCGGTAGACATGTAGGAGGAGGTTGACGGGCTGCAACTCGTCGGACAAGCATGTCCCACACGTGCTCTACTGGATTCAAGGCTGGTGAGAATGCTGGCCAGTCCATACGGGTGATATCCTCCGATTGAAGGCATTCGCTTACGATGTTTGCATGGTGAGGACGGGCGTTGTCATCCATAAACACAAATTGTGCGCCCATGGCGCCCCGAAACAAACGTACATGTTGTTCCAGAATGACGTCCCAATAGATTTGGCTTGTCATGGTTCCAATTTGAACATGCAGGCCAGTTCTGGAACACAGAATATTTCCACCCCAAACGTGCACTCCTGCACCACCGTAACGGTGTCGTTCAATGATGTTTTCTTGGTGGTAACGGGTACCTGGAACTCTCCATATGAAAGTCCGGCGAGAATCAGACTGCAAGCTAAACCTGGACTCGTCGGAAAACATCACACAAGCCCATTGTTGCGGTGTCCACAATGTATGCTTTCTACTCCAGGCTAACCGCAGGCGGTAGTGAGTTGCAGTAAGTGGAACGCATGTGACAGGTCTACGAGCATATAGACCAATCTGCCCTAAGCGTCTGTACACGGTCTGCCTTGAAATTGTCGTACCAGTGGCTGAAGAGAGCTGACGAGACAGGTCTGAGGCTGTGCTCCGCCTGTTTCTTTTGGCAATAACTGCCAAATGCCGGTCCTCATTCGGCGTTGTAACTCTGGGGCGAGCTATGCTGTAACGTCTACTCACATTACCATCATCTTGGAATCGTTGCCAAAGCCTGGAGATGACACTCTGGGCAATTCCAAGTTCATCTGATACTTCCAGTTGGGTACGCCCACATTCCAGACGGCCGATAATTCTACCACGTAAAAAATCATCCAAATGCGTCCTTTGTGTCATAACTATTCGATTATTACACTGAAATGCTTATAAAGCGCCTGCGAACAATTTTACTTCTTTGCCTGTATTCCTTATATATCACTCTCTTGCACTCTCGTCATTGTGACGTACCATTGGTGACATCTGGTTACTTCCTGAGATTCGCATATGATTCTTGAAGATGTGTGTAGTGATTTTACAAGGAATATATTTATTTTAGAGTTCGATTTCGCGTGACTCCGAACTATCCTTAATTTATGGACATGAGTGTATTACTTAACACATAAAAATGAACAAAATAAACTACATATTTTGTCATATGTTGTGACCATTACAGAAGGTATATATGAGGGATTATTACATTTCATATAATAAACTGGAACGTTTTATTTGAAATTTTTGAAGCCTAGGAAAGATGTTAGTATGCCAACGGGCTGAATGAAATGTTTTGAGTATTATCTGTTTTATGAGTTATTAAGAATATTATTGACTATTTTGTTCTACGAATGTAAAACGCATGATGTTTACTGCTCATTTTGCAAAGTTTAGAAATGTTTCACACAATGAAAGAGGTTTAAAATTTTGTTTATAAGTATAGCAATAAGATATAAATAGAGATTATTTGAATTCCCTGGTTTCCTATTTCATTATTGTACGGAAGTAAGACGAAAAATATAATTATTCTTATGAAGACGGCATTTCACCTTATTATTATTATTATTATTATTATTATTTGTAAATATTAAGATGTTCTATTTATA